CATGGCTGCCAGGGGCTCGACTACAAACACGGAGAAGGCCTTCCTGAGAGACTGGCCAGGAAAGGAAGGCCAGGCAACAGGAAAAGAGGGGACCCAAGAGTACAGGCCAAATCTGGACCACTACTTGTTATTGTAAATAAGATTTCACTGGAACAGAGCCACACTCACTCATGTGTGTATTGTCTATGACAATGGCAGAGTTGAGTAGTTGCAACCAAGACTATATGACCTACAAAGGCTAAAGTATTTACTGTCTGGCTCTTTACCAAAAAAATTTGCCAAGCCCAACATAAGGATTATAGGCATAATAATAAATAGTTTCTGAGCAATTTGTCCTCATAATAACTTATTTGTCCTCATAATAACTCTGTGGGAGCTGGTGGCAAAGATGGCCCCTGTGCACCCCTCTCCTGAGATTCACACCCTGGGCAGGCCCTGCCACCTTCTGCTGGGGACAGCCTCTGATTGCACTTGCATGAAAGAACCCCAGCAAGACCAGCAGAACTGCTCAGCGGAGCCCAATCAACTCACAGAACAGCGGTCAAGCTGCTATTTTAAGGAGGAGTGGGGTGTTTTATGCAGCAAAGCTACCTGAGAAGGGGCCTCTCCTGGGACTATCCCAGGTCTGCCTGACCTCAAAGCCTTTTCCGCTCCACTCTCCCTTAATCACTGGACATTAGAATCTCCCAAGGAGCTTTTCCAGATGCCAATTAAATCAGAATATCTGGGAATGGAGGCCAGGAGTAGGTATTTTTTAAATCCCCCAGGACTTGAGAACCTTGGCTCCATTCCCTGTTTCTAAAACTTACCTAAGATAAGAAATCCTGCCTGGCACACTTATTAAAAAACAGATTCTGAACTCCTAACATAACACTGATTCAGAATTTCCATGGAAGGGCCCTGGTAATCTGGAGAGTCTATGTCCTCCCAGGTGAATCTTATTATTAATTATTAGAGGCCCGGTGCATGGATTCATGCACATTGAAAGGGAATTAATTGGAGTGTGGCGGGTGGGGTGGGACTGAGCGAGATGGGTCAGACATACCCTGGAGCCAACTTCCTGAGGTCCCTCCCTGGCTGGCCACACCTGGGGTGGCGCTGCAGCTCTAAGGGTGTCTGTGGAGTGAGTGGGGGTCCCTCTGGCAGGTGGGGTCCCTCAGCCTGGCCAGTGGGGATCGGGCCAAAACCAGCAGTCCAACACCCCCCGAGGGGTCCCAGAGTGCCGGAGGGCACTCTGCAAAGTTGCTGTCGCTCCGCAACTCCTACGTTGAGCGTCTGCCCCCTGGTGGTCAGTGCGGGTCATACCTACCGGCCGGTCAGCCGGTCGGCTGGTCGCTTAGCCTTTTAGTATACGGTATATATAGATTAGAAGAGAAAGGGGGAGAGGAGAGCCAGCTCTCCGGTTGGGAGAACTGTTTGGCAGTTTCCTATTAAGTGAAACAAACACTTACGTTGACCCCAAGGATCAATGTACCCGTTAAGGCCCCTTCTCAGGTTGCTTTGCTGCATAAAACACCCCACTCCTCCTTAAAATAGCAGCTTGACCGCTGTTCTGTGAGTTGATTGGGCTCCTGGTGGCTGACTGGGTTCAAATTTAAAAACAGAGCATAGCAGCTCCGCATGAAAGCCACACTTTAGGGGAAAGCCTGCATGGGACTGCAGGCCTGCACTGCGTCCGTGAGTGAGGTCTGAGCCAGCCTTGTAAAGGAGTTCCTGGGATAGTATTTCAACCAATAGGGCTGAAATTTCCCGTCCAATCGGAGCTGCACTACTATAATAGCCTCATGAGCATCTTCACCAACCAATCAGAGTGGCTCCATTCTGACCAACCAGGACAGTGTTTTTGGATCAAACTACAAGGATTTGGAGTTCTCATTTAGGGACCAGGGTGGTGATAAAGATCAAACAGTGGCTACCTTTTGTGGGTGTGTGCCTGTGTATATGTGTGTGGGAGTTCTACAGCTGCACGTGAGAGTGGGTATCTGTGAGTGCACTCGCATGTGCGTGAGTGTGTGTGTGTGTGTGTGTGTGTGTGTGTGTGTGTGCAAGCTCTGCTCCCTCACAGGATGCAAGGACACTTCCCAGGGCAGCTGTCAGGTGCACAGAGAACAATTTACCTGCATTGGGGCCCACTTGAGAGACCTTTGCATGTTTGTTTATTTTTCCTGGAGATGCACATTATACATTCAGATATGCAATAAAGTGAGCACATCTTAAGTGTCCAGCCCAGTGGCTGCTCACCTGTTTACACTGTTTGCCCTTGTGCTTAGTCTGTTCCAGGCCCCTGGAACCCTGCTTGCCTGGGTTTTATAATCTGGGTGGGAGATATGACAATAAAAGAGCAGTGAACGGTCATTAATTCACTTTTGAGCACCTACCCTGTGCCAGGCACTGACCTAGGCACTAGACCTGCAGCAGGGACCCGGATCCAGTCCTGCTATCATGGTGGTCATGGTGCTTACAGTCAAGTTTTGGAATGTAGTACAGTGAGAGATTACATATACTTATTCTATCTCCTAAAAGAAATATTTCCCAAATTCATCATCTTCTTCTCCCATTGGCCCTATCTTAGTTCAGGTCCCTGCCGTCTCTACTTCCTGGGCTAATGTAGTAGTTTCCTGATGGATAATGTTTCCAGTCCTCTGCCTCTGATTCATCCTCCAGACAAACAGCCCTTATTTTTATCTAAAATGTTGAGCTAATGGCTCTCCATTGCCCAGGCAACTCTGATGTCAGCCTGCCGGGCTTGACTCCTCACTCAGAGGGTCTATATTCTGACCACAGACAAGCTCTTTAAATACCCTGAGCCTCATGTTTGTTGTCTGTAAAATGGAGATAAAAAATAATTATACAACAACAACACTGATCTCCCTGAAGAGGCTGAACTCCAATCTGTCATAATAGGTATTCATACGCATATGCTAAACCTCCACATGCACATCTATTTAATCCTCCCAATAACCCTCGTTGCTGTTACTCTCATCTCTCTGAACTACCCAGTCATATCACGGTGCTTGTACTCATGGACACACCCATTGCTTTCAAGACCCTGCGCGTCAACCCTGAGCTCCTTCTGTCTCTGCCTCCTCCTGGCTGGGTCTTAGTCAGCTCAAGACTCAGCCCAGGCCCTGCCTCCTGCAAGGAGCTGTCCCTGAAGCTGCAGATGCAGCTGGGTGCCTTTGTAGGCACCTCCATAGCTCCCTGGATTGTATCTGTCTGTCGGCCTCCTGTTTCTCCACTTGCTTAACTATGAGCTCCTTCCAGGCAGGCGTGACTCGAATGCTTCTGTGTGCCCCCAGCGGTGGACCCTCCTGGCAGGGCAGGTGCTGCCTGTGTCCAGGGACCTGAGCAGAACATGCCAAGCATTTTCTTAAGGGAAGTGGCCATGGAGTTGGCCTTGAGGCATGGTAGGACTTTCAGAAATTCTTTTCAAACAAGTTGTACATTCACACAATATCAAATCCAAAGAGAACAAAAGGGCTTACAGTGAAAATTAAAAGTAGGTCGCCTCTCAACCACCCAACTCCCCTCCCCAGAGGCAACCATTGGTATCAGTTTCTGGGTATTCTATACAAGCAAGAATTGTCTGTCTCCCCCTCCCCCCAGCTCCCCCCTCCCCGCCCACACTTACTTTGCAAAAATTTAAACCAATAGGAAAGTTGCAAGAATGGTACACTACATACCCTTTGTCTAGATTCACAAATTAACATTTTGCCACATTATGCTCAATATTTTACAGCATTAATCATGTGATGCTCACAACAACCATACAATCATGCCAACTGTGTAGATGAGGTCACTGAGGCAGTCGGCATGAAGGGACTTACCTAGGCCGCAGAGCTAGTGAGGGATAGAGCTGCGTGTTCGCCCTAAGGCTGCGGGGACCCTGGCCCACCTTCCTTTAGGAAAGTATTTCTTACTGTATTGAATCTCCCTCCCTAGGATCGAGCGTCACCAGACGATCAGTGGAAAGGTACACAGCTCTGGGAGCATGGGCTACTTCTCGCTCCCAGAACCTTCCCATTCCCTGAGCAGCAGCTGCTGTCCCTGCCACTAATACACGTTTCAGCGTCACCTCCTCTGTGAGCGTTGAGTTAGCTCACTCCCCTGTTTGAAGGCTCAGATAGTTGACTCCTGGCTGCCGCATGATGACATATATACGCCTGAGCCTGGACCCAAGGTCCTGGGTGGCCTGGCCCTCATGTCTGTCCTGCTCCCTCCTCCTCAACCTCTGGCCATCTGCTCAAACTTCCCTACCTCCTCGAAGGCCCCTATTTCCCCAAGGAGTGCATTTCCTCCTCTCTGGGCTCCTGCATCTTCTGCCGGTGCCTCTTTTCCATTCTTCTCCAGGTGGCCTTTTGGCCAGGAGGCTGCACATATTGAGTCGGGCTTGAGCCTTACCTCAAGCACATCATGGGGATGAGAATTCCTAGTTTAGTGTCTGGCATACAGTCAGCCTTTACTAGTCTCCCATAATAGAACTGACAGCTCTGGGAGGCTGACATCTTCTCTTAGTCATCCCTTGAAACCCTACCTTCTATTTCATAACTTCTCTGTGCCTGTTACCAAGCGCTCGGAATGCTGCCTATGATTTCTATGATGGAGGGAGGTAGGGCTGGCGCATAGTAGGTCCAGGCTGGGCTCCGGTGCCGAGACAGCCTCGGGAAGGAGCTGTTGGCAGTGAGAGGTTTGCATGGAGCCCGCCTGGCGGTCGGGCCCGCCCCTTCCCCCCGGGCTCCGCCCCCGCAGCTGTCAGTGCCCCCTCGGCGCCCGTCCACCAAACCTGACGTCCCCTCGCGGCGCCCCACCTTCCCGCCCACCAGTTACCTGACGCCGGCAGCCCTTGGTCCGCCCCTGACTCCCATTGGCCGAGAGGTTTCTTTGTTAGCTGAAGCTCACCACTGCCATTGGTCGGTAGGGCCGCCGATCGCGTCGGGGACGAGGCTCCGCCCCGCACAGCCCCGCGTGCTTCCTCCGCCCCCGCGCCCGCCCCCGGCCCCGCCCCGGGAGTGCGCGAGGCGCTTCGCTCCCATTTGCTGCGGCCGCTGGGCGCGGGGGCAGCGGCGGCCGGACCGACCGCAGGGACCCGCGGCGACCCGGGGCCTGAGAGGCGGGCCGAGCGCGGGGAGGCAGGGGCCCAGGAGGCCGCGTCCATGGGCCCGCGGCGGCCGAGCGGTGGCTGTACGAGCGGGCGGCGGGGACCGCGCGCTCTGTGAGGGCCTGGCCCACGTCCCGGCCCCGCGGAGCCGCCCTGACCGCCGGGGGCGCGCTCCGGCCTGCGTCGGCGGCCCGCGGCCGGTGTGAGGCGGGGACATGCCGCGGCGCCCGCGCTGACCGCCGAGCCGCCGTGCATGGTGCCGCCGCCCCTGCCGCCGCCGTCTGCCGGGCCGGCCTGTGGGCCTCGCCGCCGCCGCGCCGACCATGTCGGCGGCCAAGGAGAACCCGTGCAGGAAATTCCAGGCCAACATCTTCAACAAGAGCAAGTGTCAGAACTGCTTCAAGCCCCGCGAGTCGCATCTGCTCAACGACGAGGACCTGACGCAGGTGAGCGGGGCCCGGGGGCGAGGCGGGCCTGGCGCCGGCGGCCCCCGCGCTCGGGGCCGGAGAGCCTCCCGGGAGCCGGCGCCTCGCCGCTCCGACGCCCGGGAGACGGCCCCGCAGGGAAAGGAGGCGGGCGCGGGTGGGGGTGCATCTGAGGCTCCTGGGAAAGCAAAAAGAGCCGGAAAAATGTGCATGAGCCCTGGCGTGCGAGTGCGAGCGTGAGTGTGAGAGTGTGTGAGGGGGGGGGGGGGGGTGGCGGGACGTGCACTGAGGCCCGGGACAAAGGGAAAAGCCTCAAGTATGCCGAAAAATAACATCCTCTCCGCTCCCAGCGCTGCCGGGTGATTCATGCTTTTTGGGTGACTCAAAAACGCCTGGTTTTCCTTAGTTCGGACACAGCGCCGAGGATTTCTTGCTGCTTCACAGGCCCCCCCCCCCCCAACCCCCACCCCGTCGTGGGACCCGACTTGGACTTGTCCCCCGGGTGGCCGCCGGGGTGGGGGCTGGGGGGCTGGGGCCTCTTCCTCTTGTCCTTGGGCAGTCGGGGCGGGAGTCCGGGGAGGAGGGTCTTCCCTTGGACTAAGCGGGGCCTGGTGCTGGGGCGGGGGCTCCTCTCCCGCCGGCCCTGGGCGAGGAGTGAGGCCGCCGCGGGCCCGGGGAAAGTCGGGTCCCTGCTCCCTCCTGTACCTGTCAGATGGGGCTCCGGGATGGTCCCGGGGCGCCCACACCTGCCTCTTTGAAAAGGCAGGTCCCGGGGCCCCAGCCCTGGAGTGACAGGGGGAGGGGCTTGTATGGGAACAGCCCCCCGAGAAGCCGGGCTGTGGCCCCACTGGTCTTTGGGGACCTGACACTGGCTGCCCCCCAGCTCGGGGAACACAGGAAGGCTTTGGGGCCTTCAGCTTTGTTGGATTTGCAGCCTGGTCTGCATCCCCTTGGGGTGTCTGTGCCCCCTGCCCCACCCCAGAGCTTTCCGTCCTGCCCGGAGAGACATGCCTCCTGGGAGACCGGCTGGCCCTCTGCGTTTTCAGAAGAACCCGAGGAGGAAGGCGCTGCGGCCAAGTGTTCGCAGGGTCCGACTTCCTCTCAGGCTGGGGACAGTCGGGAGTTGGGTCAGGGCAGGAGTCATGGCCTGGGACGCAGTGCCGTCCTCTGGGCAGGTGCCCAACAGCCAGAACAGACTCCTTTCATGTGAGCCAGAAGCCACCCAGACCCTGAAGCTGCGGAGTCCGACGATGGTTGGGACGGAGGCCAGGCAGGTCAGCCCGGGTGGAGCTGGGTCTGGCCAGGTTCTGGCTGTGGGTTGGGCTTGTGCCGGGATTCCCTTTCTCCACTGGGTGCCTTTTTCTGGGAAGCAGAGTATGAGGAATGAGGGTCCTGGCCGGGAGTCCCGAGACCTTGCTTCTTGTCTTGGCGGTCACTTTCAGTTATATGACCTTGAGCAAGTCCCTTTGCCTCTGTACAGTTAATTTCCTTTAAAAAATATTTTTATTGATTTCAGAGAGGAAGGGAGAGGGAGAGAGAGACAGAAGCATCAGTGATGATAGAGAATCATTGATTGGCTGCCTCCTGCCTGCCCCCCAACCTCCCCCCCCAACTCCCCCCACTGGGGATGGGGCATGTGCCCTGACCGGGAATTGAACCCTGACCCCCTGGTTCATGGGTGGACGTTCACCCACGGAGCCACGCGGCAGGGCTAGTTCATTTCCTTTTCTATAAACTGGGAGTAGAGATTCCTGACTCACCTCAGTCACCAGGCTATTGTGAAAAGGAAGGACATGTTTTATTAGATTTTTTTTCTTACAATTTAAAAAGACAAACAAAAAACATCTTTGGAATAGTAAACGTGGGGTTGGCGGAGTTCTGAGAGTTTCCTTGTTATTCCAGGCAGTCGTCAGAGGGCTTGCTTTCTGATTCTTAGGCTTAGATTAACTAGAATGAAATATGTATATTTGAGTTGAATCTGTTAAAAAATTTAAAAAATCTGTTGATAATTTGATTCAGAGGAGTGGGGTTACACATTCAAAGTACTTTTCCTCTTTCGCTGTGTTCACAGTTGAATTGTTGATTTTAAAACAGGCCTGAATGGTAGTTTCTGAACTAATGAGTGGGGCTATTTGTGCTGCGAGAGATTAGGTCAGCCTTCCACCTCCTGGGATCTTTCAGGAAGAAACTGCTCTTGAAACGAGGAGGGGGACCCAGGGCTGCTGCCAAGAGCTTTCGCCGCCGCTCTCTGCATCCGGCCCCTCCCTTACCACCCCAGCTTCTTACTCTCATCCTCCTGGCTTCTTCAGAAAACCTCAGCGATTGGTTCCCATCAGTCTCCCCCAAGTCCTTGCTTCCTGCTCCCTTTTCTGCCCTGAGCTTATTTTAGACCATCAAGGCTGGAAGAAAGATCAGCGATAACTGAGGCCACCCCCCTGTAAGAGGTGAGGACACTGGAGTCAGTGAGACTGGCTTTTGCCCTGGGATGTCCTCGTCCCGGGCAGGCATTTCTCCCAGCCCTCTGATTTGAGCTTATTCCCACAGCTGTGACTTTTGTTTGTTTTCCCTCAGAGAGGTACAGAAACCTCTTTCAGGGACTGCATGGCAGCCTCAGACCTGGAAGAGCCGTAAGATCAGCTAACCTACTTTTAACCAGGAGGAGACCAACCCCAGCAGCTTGCCCAGTTCGGGGACACCGTGAGGAATCTTCATCCACTGTTCTTGCCCTACTCGTATAAAGGGTCTCCAGTGGCCTCCCATACACTTGTGGTGAGGAGGATTGCGTCAAGGGTAATGATGTTACAGAAGGTTCCTTGGAGAGCAGGCTTCGGGTATCCTACTGGGGACCTTGAGATTGCTCGCTCGAGCAGACGAGTTCCGTAGTCTTTCCTCACTACTGGACTTCAGAGTGATCCAGGGAAAGGAATAAGCAATAATCCTCTGTTACCTGTCAGGGCACCCTCCAGTCCCAGCCCCTGTCCACAGGGTAGCATCTGTCCTTCAGTTCTTCTCCGATGCATTTCCTGCGTAGATATGGACTCAAGTTCATAGCTAAAACCTTTTTTAACCTAAACTGTATGTACGTATGCGCAACGTATATTTTCTGGTTAGTAACATGTCTTACAACTCTCTTCATGGTATTAAATAGAAATATACAAAAGTCATTGTGTATAGTGTACCACCAGATATGTATTATAGTTTTACTGTATTGATGGACAGCAAGGTTACCTCTGGGTTTTACTGTTATAAACGAAATGCTTCCACGAACAGCTTTCTAAATGTTTTTGGGTACATATGTGCCTGCATGAATGCAAGTATTTTTCTGGGGCAAATACTTAAAAAAGATGACAGGATTGACATCAAGCGCATTACATCTTTTATAGGTAGCACCAAATTGCCTTTCTAAAATGGCTGTGTCATACTATTGCCAGGATTGGATATTATCAAATGATTTAATTCTTTAATATTTTCCCTAATTACCAGTGATGTTAAGCCTGTCTTTATAATATTTGTTAAATATATTTTATTTCTTTAGTGCGTGCCAGTTCCTGTTGTTTGCCCTGTTTTTGTTTTTGTTTTTCTAAATTGGGTTAGTTCTCCACCCCCATTGATTTGTAGGAGTTTTCTATATATACTCGAGGTCAGGGGTCCACAAACCTTTTCTATATAAGGCCAGATAGTAAATATTTTAGCCTTGTAGGTCATATAGTTTTTGTAGCAACTATGCAACTTTGCTATTATAGTGCAAAAACTGCAGTATAAAGCTGCTGTAGACAATACATAAACTAATGGGAAATGACTGTTTCCAATAAAACTTTATTTACAAAGCCAGTCAGTTTTCAGGATTTGGTGACTCCTGTTCAAGGTATTAATCTGACACCTGTCATATAGCGCAGGTATTTTCTCTCAGGGTGTCACTTGTCTTTTAATTTTTATGTATGGTCATTTCTCTATATCATATGGTAGTTTTAAATATGAATGCAGTTAAATTTCCATATTTTCCTTTATAGTTTGCAGTCCTTTTAATAAATAGTGACTTTTTATTTATTTTGTTAACCCTCACCCAAGGATATTTTTCCATTGATATTTTTAGAGAGTGAAAGAAGGGAGACACACACACACACACACACACACACACACACACACAACCATCATTGTGAGAGAGACACATTGATTGGTTGCCTCCTGCACACATCCTGACCGGGGTGGTGGATGGAACCTACAACCCAGATACATGTCCTTGACCAGGTATTGAACCCAAGACCTTTTGGTGTGTGGGCTGATGCTCTAACCACAGGAGCAACACCGGTCAGGGCTGTAGTTTGTAGTTTTAATCTTAGCATACAAAGGTCTTCTTTCCAAAGTTATAAAAGCATTTCTAAATGCTTTTATGCATATGCTCATGATAGCACTATTCACAGTAGCCAAAACATAGCAACAACCCAAGTATCCACGGATGGATAAATGGATAAGCAAATTGTGGTTTATCCATATATTGGAATATTATCCTATATAATAAAAGGCCAGGACCATAAGTGTCACGACTGAATGACCGCTCGACCAGTCGCCATGAGGTGCATTGAACACCTCTTGGTCCCCCCGCCCCCCTCCAGGGCTCTGATTGCAGCATGGTGAATGGGGAACCACGGCAAACGGCGGGGGCGAGGTGGGGGTGGCGGCAGGGCAGGACTGGGGACTGTTGAGCAGGGCAGGCGGTGGGTGGCGGGCAGCAGCAAGCATTGAGGGGCAGCTGCAGAGAAGGTTGTGGAGCGTTGCGGGGGTGGGGAGCTTCATGGAGCGTTGCAGGGTGTCAGAGGCAAGCGTTGTGGAGCTTTGCAGGGCCGGGAGCGTAGTGGGGTGTCGCCGGGCGTCCCGAGTGTTGGACATGGCCCTGATCACAGGCGAGGCCTAGGGACCCTACTCGCGCACGATTTCGTGCGCTGGGCCTCTAGTTCAGTTATAAAAAAGAATGAAGTACTGAGACATGTTACAGCATGATTGAACCTCAAAAACATGATGTA